ACGCTTAACGACTGAGCCACCCAGGCGCCCCCCTTGGACAAAAGATTTTAAAACAAAAACTATAACAAGAGACAAAGAAGTGCACTATGGAATAATAAAAGAGATAACCCAACAAGAAGATATAACAATTTTAAGTATTTATGCACCCACTATGGGCACACCCAAATACATAAAACAGTTAATAACAAACATAAAGGAAGTAATCGATAATAATACAATAATAGTAAAGGACTTTAACACCCCATTTACATCAATGGAAGGATCATCTAAACAGAAAATCAACAAGAAAACAATGGCTTTGAGTGACACAATGGACCAGATGGATTTAACAGATATATTCAGAATTTCCACCCTAAAACAGAAGAATACACATTCTATTCAAGTGCACAGGGAACATTCTCCAGAACTGATCACATATTAGACCACAAAACAAGCCTCAACAAATTAAAAAAAATCAAAGTCATACCATGCATCTTTTCTGACCACACTATTATAAAACTAGACGTCAACCATAAGAAAAAACCTGGAAATACTATAAATACACGAAAGTTAAATAATATGATACTAAACAATGAATAGATCAATCAGGAAATCAAAGAAGAAATTTAAAAATACATGGAAACAAATGAAAATGAAAACATAATGGTATGAAACCTTTGGGATGCAGCAAAAGCATTTCTAAGAGTAAGTTTACAGCAATAAAGGCCTACCTCAAGAAGAAAAATCTCAAATAAACAACCTAACGTTACACCTAAAGGAACTAGAAAAAGAAAAAACAAAACCTAAAATCAGAAGAAGGAAGGAAATAATAAGGATTAGAGCAGAAATAAATGATACAGAAACTAAAAAAACAATAGATCAATGAAACCAGGAGCTGGTTCTTCAAAAAAACAAAAAGAACAAAAACAAAAAAACAATAAAACTGATACACCACCAGCCAGACTTATCAAGAAAAAAAGAGAAAAGACCCAAATAAAATCACAAATGAGAGAGGAGAAATAATAATAAACCCCACAAAAATACAATTATAAGAGAATATTAAGAAAAATTATATGCTGACAAACTGGACAACTTAGAAGAAGTGGATAAATTTCTAGAAACATATAACCGACCAAAACTGAAGCAGGAAAAAATAGAAAATTAGAAATAGAAAATTTGAACAATTACCAGTAACAAAATTGAATCAATAATTAAAAAACTCCCAACAAACAAAAGTCCAAGACCAGAGGGTTTCAAAGGCAAATTCTGCCAAACACTGAAAGAAGAGTTAATATCTATTCTTCTCAAACTATTCCAAAAAAGAGAAAAGGAAGGAAAACTTCCAAATTCACCCTGTAATGCCAGCATTACCCTGATACCAAAATTAGATAAAGACACCACAGGCCAAAGAACTACAGGCCAAGATCTCTGATGAACATAAATGCAAATATCCTCAACAGAATACTAGCAAACCAAATCCAACAATACATTAATAAAATCACTCACTACGACCAAGTGGGATTTATTCCTGGGTTGCAAGAGTGGTTCAATATTCACACATCAGTCAACATGACACGTCACATCAGTAAGAAAGGATAAGAACCATATGATCATTTCAACAGCCACTGTAAAAGCATTTGACAAAGTAAAACATCCATTCATGATAAAAATCCTCAACAAAGTAGGTTTGGAAGGAACATAGCACAACATAATAAAGGCCATATATGAAAAGACAGCTAATATCATCTTCAGTGGGGACAAACTGAGAGCCTTTCCCCTAAGATCAGGAACAAAACAAGGATGTTCACTCTCACCACCTTTATTCAACATAGTATTGGAAGACCTAGCCACAGCAATCAGACAACAAAAATTAAATCTGCAAGGAAGAAGTCAAACTTTCACTCTTTGCAGATGACATGATACTATATAAAGAAAACCCAAAAGACTCCAACAAAAAACTGCAAGAACTAATTAAGAAATTTAGTAAAGTCACAGGATACAAAATCAATCTACAGAAATCTGTTGTATTTCTACACACCAATAATGAAGCAGCAGAAAGAGAAATTAAGAAAATAATCCCATTTACAAATGCACCAAAATTAATAAGATACCTAGGAATAAACCTAGCCAGAGGTGAATGACCTGTATTCTGAAAACCATAAAGCAATGATGAAAGAAATTAAGGATGATATAAAGAAATGGAAGGACATTCCATATCACAAATTAGAAGAAAAAAACATTGTTAAAATGTCTATACTACCCAAAGCAATCTACACATTTAATGCAATCCCTATCAAAATACCATCAGCATTTTTCACAGAGCTAAAACAATTAATCCTAAAATTTATATGGAACCACAAAAGACCCTAAATAGCCAAAGTAATACTGAAAAAGGAAAGCAAAGCTGGATGCATCTGAATTCCAGACTTCATGTTATATTACAAAGGTGTAGTAATCAAAACGGTATGGTACTGGCACAAAAACAGATGCATAGATAAATAGAACAGAATAGAAAATCCAGAAAGAAATCCACAATTATACAGTCAGTTAATCTTTTGACAAAGCAGGAAAGAATATCCAATGGGAAAAAGACAGTCTCTTCAACAAATGGTTACGGGAAAATGACCACTTTCTTACACGGCACACAAAAATAAATTCAAAATGGATTAAAGACCTAAATGTGAGACCTGAAACCATAAAAATCCCAGGAAAGAGCACATGACATTGGCCATAACAACTTTTTTCTAGATAGGTCCCCTAAGGCAAGGAAAACAAAAGCAAAACTAAACTATTGGGACTCCATCAAAATAAAAAGCTTCTGCACAGCAAAGGAAACCATCAACACAACTAAAAGGCAACCTACAGAATGGGAGAAGATATCTGCAAATGGCACATTCAATAAAGGGTTAATATCCAAAATATATAAAGAGCTTATAAAACCACCCCAAACCAAATAATCCAATTAAAAAAAATGGACATTTCTCCAAAGAAAACATAGATGGCCAACAGACACATGAAAAGATGCTCAATATCATTCATCATCAGGGAAATGCAAATCAAAACTATAATGAAATAGCACTTTACACCTGTCAGAATAGCTAAAATCAAAAATACAAGAAACAAGTGTTGATGAGGATGTGGAAAAAAGGAACCCTCTTGCACTGTTGGTGGGAATGCAAACTGGTGAAGCCACTGTGGAAAACAGTATGGAAGTTCCTCAAGAAGTTAAAAATAGAACTACCCTATGATACCCTATGATAGCAATTGCACTACTGGATATTTACCCAAAGAATACAAAAACACCAATGCAAAGGATACAGACACCTCTATGTTTACAGCAGCATTATTCACAATAGCCAAGGTATGGCAGCAGCCCAAGTGTCCATCGATTGATGAATGGATAAAGAAGATGTGGTACACATACACACATATATACATATATATAATGAAATATTATTCAGCCATAAAAAAGAATGAAATTTTGCCATTTGCAATGGCATGGACGGAGCTAGAGAGTATAATCCTAAGTGAAATAAGTCAGTCAGAGTAAGACAAATGCCTTATGATTTCACTCATATGTAGAATTTAAGAAACAAAACAAGCAAAAGGAAAAAAAGAGAAAGAGAAACCAAGAAACAGACTCAAATATAGAGAACAAACTGGTGGTTACCAGAGGGGAGGTGGGTAGGGAGATGAGTGAAATAGGTGATGGGGATTAAGGAGGGCACTTGTCATGCTAAACACCAGGTGATTAAAATAAAAACTTAAAAAAAATGTATACATTTTATCCTATCCTTCAAAGAACTATGTAAAACAGGTAATCAACATATGTTTTTTAAAAGAATTGCATGGAAATATGAAAACTAGACTTCTAAGTTCTCATATTGAAAATAAGATCACTGGCAGTATCTTATGTAAAAACTTATCATTTCACTTACCCATGAAACAATAAATTTGTGAAATGAAGTTGAATAATTAAAGGTATCAATCTAAAACACTGTTATTTCCTATTTCTACATTATCTAGGCCTTTAAACCCTCTCCTCAGTTCCAACATTCCCACTATGATTGCCAAATCTTTTTCTGCAATTACTTTATTACATTTCTTTCTTTACAATTCTATTACACCATCACTACTTCATCACCACCATCATGACAACAGCAGCAGCTACTTTTTGAGTGCCATGTGCCAGGCACTGCTAAGAGAGCTTTACATGAATTAAATCATTTAATCCTCATAACATCTTCTGAGAAAAGAAATATTATCCCTAACTACATACATGAGACAATGAAGCACAGAAAGGCTAAGCTAGTAAGTGGTAGCATTGGTATTTGAACCCAAACAGTGTTAACCTTCTTTTAGAGTTGCCTCTCAGAAATCACCTCACACCTCCAAAGTTTTGCTTCCTGGTTACAGGATATCAGATATCACTTCTCTCCTTTTGGAAATTCACTCAACATGATGAAACTAGATGATCACTGTCATTAGAACATTACCCTGTTCAATAATCTACTTTACCTAAAAATTAGTTATAAAAATCAGATCAAATGTGTACAATCCAGGTATTCAAGATTTTTCTCAATCTATACACCCATCTTCCCTTTCTTACCTCATTCCCCATACAGCTCATCACATGAACACTAAGCAAGAGGTATTTGGAGCTATATTCTTATCTTCTCACAGGGCCTAATACAATGCCTGGAACATAACAGGTGCCAAAAGTGTTTGCCAGATTAATGACTAAAAGGCTTTATGATTTTTCAGATACCTAGCTGTAAGTTACTGTAATGCTAGGGTTCATAGTGTTCACAAAGACATTTGGTATTCCTTCCTAATAAGACAGTGCTAATAGTTTCAAAATTCAAAAGTTCACCCATGACAAAATAAGGCAATTCGGAACACTTAAATCATAGGTTTTTCCACTCTTCTTTAGCAAAAGAGGAGCAAGTAGTGGTTATATTCAACAGTGTGATTAAAGAAATGAAAGTATTCTTAATATTACCAAGAATTTTATTACTAACCTGTTGAGGGGTTACAGTATCTCTATAGCTTGGTAAAATTTTTAGGGTGACACTTCCACTAATATTTTTCAGTAATTCTTGTAATTCCTTTGGATTGTTTCCAACCTCATGACCATTGACTTCTTTAATGATATCTCCCACATGAAGCAGACCTTGTCGATCTATCATTCCTCCATGAAGGATTCGGGCAATTACCAGATCATTATTTTCGACCCTAAATGTTACACCCTAAAGGAAATAAAAAAACAGAATTATCACTGATTTTAGATTATTAGGAAGAAATCTTAAATATTCATTAATATGTATATACAAGAAAATAATTCTAAAAGTAGGTGAGTTAATTTTTCCTACTTTTCCTCTGTTCTCTGTCTCAATATTTTAATCTCATTAAACCATAGGCAACTGTGATGACATACACCACCCCATAAAAATAGGACTTCCATGGGAATTGCATTCCACAGGATAAAAAGTTCAAAGAGAAGAAAAAGTATTTATGCATTCTGATGGCCTTGTTCCAAGCTTTTCTTTTTTTCTTACAGTCAGGACCCAGAAATAATAATTTTAGCAGGGAACAGAAAACTTCACTACTTACAGAGTCCTACCATGCTTCAATTCTTAATAACTTTCTTTTGTTTTGATACTATCATTAGCAAGCAACTTGAGCTTATTTCTTCAAAGGGTATAGGAAGAAGCGGAGTAGTTATCTTCTGTAATTTTTCCTGCCCATTAGCAAACTGCTTCTGGCCTCTATTTCAGCTTAACATTTTATTTTGGCTTAATTTTGTATGCTATATTAAGTTAAGAGAGCATCAGTTGTGTATTTATATACAAGCCAAAAAAACACTGATAAAACAAATAAACATGAATTGAAGTTTTTTATAATAATACAAATTATGAAAAAGAAAAAAAGATATGACTGAGCCACAAATATGTCAGATTTCAGATTTTAAATGGCACTATTTATCTACTCACCAATGGCTCCCCAGCTCTTTTGTGAATACCAAGAATACGAATGGCATCTACTGGTAATAACTGATTATTGATAGAAGAATTATTCATTTCTGGGCTTGATGGAGGTGAATCATAACATTTTGATGCCACAATATCATGGGCCTCCAAGAGTGACTATAAGGATTCAAAATAGCCTGCGGTTATTAATTACTGATGGAATAAGTTATTAAAAATAACAGTTCATTATCCCAGTGGAGTACTAAAACCTTCCAAGGCACACATTATTAAATTCTAAATGCAACAGAATTTTTTAAAGAAATATAAATATATAGTACATTAACATAAACAATATTGTATTCCTTGTTTTAAAAGATTTGAAGAGACTGATAGAGTTTTATGACTTTTTTTTTTTTTAAGATTTTATTTATTTATTTGACAGAGAGAGATAACGAGAGAAGGAACACAAGCAGGGGGAGTGGGAGAGGGAGAAACAGGCTTCCTGCCAAGCAGAGAGCCCGATGCGGGGCTCGATCCCAGGACCCTGGGATCATGACCTGAGCCGAAGGCAGACGCTTAACGACTGAGCCACCCAGGTGCCCCGAGTTTTATGACTTTTTTAAAAAAGTGACATGGTCAGTGGAAACTGAACCTAGATTTCCAAGTGTGGTACACTGAAGGCACTGGAATTCACTGCTGCCACTGTCATCAACATTATCATCATTCCATATTTATCATCAATCCCGATTTATTAGGTATCAGACAAATTCAAATGGTAAAGGGGCACCTGGGTGACTCAGTTGGTTAAGCATCTGCCTTCTGCTCAGGTCATGATTTCAGGGTCCTGGGATTGAGCCCCGCTCAGGGGGGAGCCTGCTTCTCCCTCTCCCTCTGCCTGCCGTTCCCCCTGCTTGTGCTCTCTCTCTCCCTCTCTCTCTCTTCCAAATAAATCTTAAAAAAAAAAAAATTCAAATGGTACAGACCCTAATTTTTACTCTAAGATTGTTATGTTAGTAATACTATATATTTCTTACACATATAAAATGTCTGCTAAAAAGACATCTAATAGAAAATGGATAAATATTTACAGCACCTTATATCAGTGATGAGAGATTTTATATTATTTATAAAGACTTTAGTCTATAAAACATATATTTTAAGGGGGGGGGAAAAAAAAACACCTAATGAGCCAGTAAAGGTCGTGAATATAATTTTACCTCCTACATTTACTATGTGTGTGCTATCATCATGGATGACTTTGATCTAGCTTTCTAGGAACTTCTTACAATTTTTTAAAATATATTTATTTTAGTTTTTCATTTACATTATAATTGTGTATACTCAACAATAAAGCTGAGTTAAAAAAATTTTTGAGTGGATGGAGCTCAAAAACAAATCAAAATAGAAAGAACAGAGAAAACGTCAACAAATTAGAATAGAAGCAATCAGGATATGAATTAAATTGGTAATTTCTGGTCATTTCATGAAAATATGTTGTAAGAGACTAAAGAAAATTTCAAAAAGAAAAAAATATCACAAGTCCACATGTAAGGATTATTTCTATAATGCTAGAAGTTGCTTAAATCTCTAACCTGGGCTGCTTAGTTTTCACCCTATGCCTTCTTAGCCAGCATTATCTACTCCTGTGACTTGAACCACTACTTAAACACTGTTAACTTCCAGAATTCTCATGAACTTCAGATTCATAGACTAAAAATCTGTCCACAACTAGCCAGTCATGATAATTTGAAAATCAAAGAGTAAAGATGGTAGAGGATTGAAACATACTGAATAATGAAAAATCTGTAACTGTACAATGCTATTTAAAAAACAGAAGGACTGAAAACTTCATCTGTTGCCATTCAAGACTGCTATTTTAAATAATTCTTTACTTTATAAACTGGTAAAGGGAAGGATCAGGCATTTCCCTGATTTTTCAGTATGAAAGGCATGATGATGGGTTAACTAAATAGTTCAGTTGATGAGGAAAAGCTCTACTTTATAAGAACAGCAGCTACACAATGTCGAATGACAGAATCTGAAAAATGTCATTCTGAAGCCTCTAATGAAAATACTGATTCAGGCAAGGATTAATTTGTGTTCGTAAGTAGATAAATGGTTGAACAGGAAAATACTGTTCCTAGAATAATAACACACTAGATTATGTCCTAGTGAAAAGTATTTCAAAGGAAGGATTAGACTGTTTATGCCTTTAATCAAGGGACCAATCTCAGCAACCGTACTGGTGGGCTAACCAGGTGTCACACATCTTCTGATATAGCTTAATTCATGTTGCATTACATCACTAATGATGCATTCTAGTTCCAAATAATTAACCTGAATCATCAACCTTTTAGATAGAACTTCTGTTTACAGGAAATAGAAGGGATAACTAAACAACACAGCGAAGAGACAACCAGATTCATCCAGGGAGTGGGACATTCTTCAGGACAATGGTCTGGTCTCTTAATAGGTCAACATCATAATCAAGGGAGAAAGGATGGTCCATCCAAATGCCACACATGAATCTAGGTTGGAAACCCATAAGTACAAACCAGCTGTAAAGAATATTTTGGTGTCAAATGGAGATGTTTGGATATAATGTGTGTATTACATGAGATGGAGATCCACTGAAATGGAAAAGTGGAAATCAACGACTGAAAAAAAAAGGGTAAGTTACAAAATAGCTTGTAAAAAGGATCTCAATCAGTAAAGAGAAAAATATGTACATTTTGCATAGAAAAAGTATGGAGGAATATGTACTAGGATAGTATAGTAAGATCTGGGTAGTAAGAATGCAATGTCTTAATTTTTAAATTTTTGCTTGCCAATATTTTCTAATTATATTAAACTTTATATAAATTTATATACTTATTAAATTTCATATATTTATTAAAGATATATAGCATGCCTGAAAGCTCTACCAGATGCTTCTAAGGTATCACAAACTTAACATGGCTGGTTACCTTAACATTAACATGTCAGTTTCTTCTAGAGTGTTCCTTATCTTAGTGAGTGCCATCAATTATTTGTTAGAAATCCTATCCTTACCAACTTCCCACATCTCTCTTCTGCAACTATCACATGTAACCAATCACCAAGTCTTGTTGATTTTACTGCTTAAAACCTGAAAATCCTCGTATTTTCTACTCTTGACACTGCCGTCATGGTTTCTTGCCTTAGTGCTTAACCATCTTGCTCCACAATCTGCCCTCTCCTTGTGTAATACTTCCCACTCTCTCCTCTCATGGTTTCCCACTGTCCTCAGGATAAAGTCCAAATGGCTTACTGTGCCTTGTAAGGCCTTCATCAACTGGCACGAGCATGTATGTCTCTGATATGTGTCCACATTTTTGTACTTTAAGATACTGATTCACGGAGCAACCAACTCACTATAAACCTTTGTATTTTGCAGCCACATTGCTGAAGAGTCACAGAAACTCCTTGAGAAAAACCAAAGAGGTGTTGCCATTTGATTTGCAATGCTAAGATTTATAGTGAAAAACATTTTATTCTTTTAGCCCAGAACCACTTATGGAACAGTCCATTTTTTCTCCCCTAAAATGTAGTATCTCTATCATAAATCAAATTGCCATATACATGTGTATGTATTTCTGGGGTTTTTTATTCTCTTCCATTGGTCTGTTTTTCTAATACTGTCCCAATGCCACACTAAATTACAGGTTGAGAAGAAATCTCTCCCCACTCCCCTCCACTTTCTCTTCTGAAACTGACGTTTTTGTTAAACAGATTTAGTTTTCACTGCTACAGACCAAAGCTTAAATTGCACTTATTTTTTTGCACCTATGGAGGAAATGTTATGGATTAGTTTCTATCCTTACACAGTTCTCTTTTGTTCCAAGGTCACTGATTGCATCTCGGTCTCAGAAGCAATACTGAAATAGCTTTAATAGGGAGGGCTGTGAAACAGTGGTAGTGAGGAAGGAAAACCTATTATCACAGTAAGAAAAATGTCTCTGGCATGTGGTCTGGTGATGAATCAAGGCTGGTTTTAATTACACAATGGAAAACCCGTTGCAATGTATTTCTGCTATACATTTATGTAGTGTGTATTAGTTGTGTGTGTCTGTTTTGACATCCTCGGTATTTCAGGACATTAAAATACCTAAGTTGGAATTTACATATTTACAAAATGTGGCTCTAAATAACCTTAAATAAATCACCTTAAACTGAAACTACGAAAAGAGAATACTTTGGGAATATAGGGGACTTGGGAAGAAAAGTAACAGGTAAAATTTACCTGGAAGTGAGGCTCTTTGAGTATACCAACCAGTTCTGCCACGTTTTCATCCACATTTATTAAGGGAGTGATATCTTCAAGAATTTCATTGACTAATTCTAAGTTATTATCACTGACAGCTTCTAGTTTTGAATCTTCCAGCCTCTCGTGAGCCTGAAAAGTTAACAGTATAATTAAAGTCATAACACATATTGTTTTGCTCCAGACCATGGTTTTCTTCTTTTCATAAAGAACACTTGAAAAGATACTACTTGAAAGTTTGATACATTGAAACCAAATTTAATATTCCAATCAGAGGCAATATATAGATTTTATAGTAAATGTTATCAAGCAATATAATAAATCTTGGCTTCTATTCCTATTCTAAAAGTCATGGAAAACTTGTTTTAATAACTAAACCATAAAGAAACTAAATAGGTCAGATGACAACTGAAAAAACACATTTCCTACCCAATAGAATTTCCTAATGACTTTCTGGTCTAGGCTCAAACTCTAGATGATACTGCTTATGCTTCATGAAAATAAATGATTATGCATAATAAAAATTTAAAAATAGGAATGTAATCATTATATGGACTGTCATTAAAAAATAATAAAAATCATTTGGGGAGCACCAAATCCTAAAGCTACCATTTTTCCAATTTTGAAAATCAGCAAAATAAGTCAATTCAGGGAAGTCAGCTCTTGAACTGGACCTTGAAGGACTGTTTGATTTCACTAGGGGGAGTGATCTCCTCGTGTCTCTTTATCTTAAGCCACTTTTTTTTTTTTTAATCTCACCATCTTTTCAACGGAAAATGGACCATGAATCACACTGTCACAGGAAACAAGTAGCCCTAATTAGCCTTTAATAGTGGGAGTAAAACAGAATTTTAAATTCAAACTGAGAATGAACACTAAGCAGTCTCCCTCTTTTAAGTGCTCTTTGTTTTTCTGATGAATGGTTGCTGTCTGATTTTGAAGGCAGGCAAAGCATAACTGTTAAGACTTAATGTATAAATGAAACCATGTAAGATGACAAATCTTGTATTTAATATTTTAAGATCCATTTCTGTAAGTGCTCAGGAAAAACCCAAGTTTCAAGTAGTAATAGTATCAATTAAACTTTATCTGTACCTATAATACTCTAGCTGTTATGTCTACCATAGAGTGGATCCTTCAAAGACGAACAGTCTGATTTTTAAAATGCGATTTTTTACATTTAAATGTATTTTTTCTAGGTGACTCACAAGAATTAAATAAGTGTTTAAGTGGAAGAGGGGGCTATATATTAAGCAACATTTTTAAGAAACACCTAAGAAAAAACTTTTAAGTCATATGAAATGACAGAAGAAATTATAACTGTTATTAAACAAAGAAAAATGTCAAAAGACTAAATGTATTTAGAGGAAGGAGTTTCTATTACATTAGGTAAGAAAAAAAATTAGATAAGAAAAAAATTAAGATTAGAGAATGCTACAAAGAATGAAATGGGTAGGGAGATGAACCATAAGAGACTATGGACGCTGGGAAATAAACTAAGGGTTCTAGAGGGGAGGGTGGTGATGGGTATTAAAAAAGGCACGTTCTACATGGAGCACTGGGTGTTCTATGCAAAGAATGAATCATGGAACACTATATCAAAAACTAATGAGGTAATGTATGGTGATTAACATAACATTAAAAAAAAAAAAAAAAGAAACTACACTATCTTTCTACATTTAGCCAAGATTCCGTTTATATACCATTCTCTGCAAAGAGGGAAGCAGACATCATTTGTGAAAACCTTTGTTCAAAAAACAGGAAAAAGAGTGGTGTTAAAGGTACTAAAACAGAAAAGTTTTTCCTTTCTTTGGTCTTTTGACTTGTAATGTTTTTTATTTGTTACTTAATGTTCTTCTAAGTAAAAATGTTTCCTTTTAAAAAGAATGAAATGGGTAAATCTGTAACTTTCTGAAAGTTTAATATAAGCCTAATAAGGGTAAGATGATAAGGACACTCAACTTATATCATAGAATGATTATCACCATTGGGAAAAACCTAAAACAATGGACAAAACTAGCTATTAACTCTTACAAAAACAAGCTAGAATTGCTTATTGCTTTAATACAAATATTTGCTGTTAACAAATATTTAATTTAGCACTGTTAAGCTTGCAATACTCTATTACTCTCATGGTAGTTAAGAAAGTTTAAGGAAAGAAAGGAAGTAAAGAAACAACATTTATTGAGGGCTTTTTGTGTATGTGTCTGGAGCTATATTCTCAGTGCGAGTGGGTGTGTGTATGTATTAAGCAAAGGTAGGTGTATTGTTATCTTCACCTTACAGACATAGATGCTGATGCAAAATAAGATAAAGTGATTTGCTTGAATCCACACTGATAAGTGGCAGAGTCAGGTAGTCTAATACCAAGGCTTGAATGCTTACCTACTAAAGCTTATGTGACTTCATCACTATACAGACAGCCACTGAAATATCATACTGTGGTTAATTATTCCATCTATTATATGATGCATTATTCTAACTCATTTAACTGTGAGATATGCTCTCATTGACTACTGGTTGATTTGTTGCTTGTTAGCATGCTCTTCTAGTCCAGATGTATTATTAATTCTGTTCTACTGCATCTATCCACAGTTATTTTCATACTCCTGTGGTTCAGAATATCACCCATCCCTTCAACCTGCACCCCCTCTGCTCCAAGTAAGAGCTATAAATACCACCTGTTTTTCCAGGAAAAAGATAATGACTGCCTTACAATTTTCAGGTACTAGGTCAATATATTTTCTATAATATCCTATGGTCATGTAATATATCAATTCAATTCAAGACACTGGGACAAGCAAAGAGAAAGAAATGATCACTGACTTGAGAACTCTAATATAGCTCCCTTTGTTTCTATGTTCATCTACCTTATTGCTCCCAAACTGGGTGAGGACACATGGGAATGTGGAAAGACCCAACAGAAAGAGGAAGTCAAGTAGGAGGGCAAAATTATGTTATAAAAACAAACATACCCAAAGGTTTTTTCACATCAACTACATAGATTGGTGCTATAGTAGGAAAGAATCTCACTATACAACAAGAAATTCTCAGAAAAAAAAAAAAAGAGGCTTTTTAGTGAAACTGCAGCTATAATTATATTAACAGAGAAAGCCAATTTCTAAAATATAGTTGGGTTCTGTTAAGATCAACTTTACTTTTCCCAAGAAAGCAAAAGCAGGTCCATATTTGTTAGTATGTAGATTTTTAAGCTCTAAGATACTGTGAAAGAAGTTGGGACCTCTATTCACTTTAAAGTCAGAATTTATTTAGTAGCTCTTAAGAGGCAAGTGTCATGGGGCACCCGGGTGGCTCAGTTTGTTAAGCAACTGCCTTCGGCTCAGGTCATGATCCTGGAGTCCCAGGATCGAGTCCCACATCGGGCTCCCTGCCTCTCCCTCTGACCCTCCCCACCTCATGCTCTCTCTTTCTCATTCTCTCTCTCAATAAATAAAATCTTTAAAAAAAAAAAAAAGAGGCAAGTGCCAAATTGAATTTAACTGGTAAGACCAAAAAAAAAAGGTCAAAGGAAATACTGAAAATTGACCAGAAGGACAGATGACTAATAAGCTATTTGAATAAATGGGTCTTATTTCCTTTAAGAAAAGATACTATTAGAAAGCTAGCATAACTTAATAAAAACATATTCTACCTGCCACAAGTGGTTGAAAGAATATGCCATGACTGGCTTCGTAGAACACTTGGAGCTGATACAAATATGGCCTAGCCTTCTTGTATGTCCACTTCTGAGAATCCTATTTACCACTGCACCTTAGAAAAATGAACTGCAGAGAAGAAAAAGTTCTTTCAGGACTTCTAGGTATTTCTTCTAGGCATAGTCCAACCATGCTTGCAAGCATAAAAAAAAAAAAAAAGTTTAACAAGTTGTGGGCTATAACTAAAGTGACAAATACTATTATTTTATTATATCTAATACTATTATCATTATGTGTAATAACCCTGCCTTTCCTCCTTAAAAGGACCAAAATATCATAAATTTTGTTTCCATCTTTGAATATGGCTAAGTATGTGGTAGTTTCTCATTAAATGTTTCTTGAAAAAGCTAAGTAAACAGGAAATAAGTTTTACTGTGGACAGAATCATCCCCTTCTATTCTAGAGACTTTAGGAAGAGAAAGATCAAGAGAAGCCCACAGTCAAAAATAAATAAGAATTTGAGCAGAAAATAGAAATGAGATAGGTAATAGAAAAGTCAATTTCTATTTTGCTTCTGCATACATTGTATCAAAGAGAATGAGCTTTGTTCTGAACAAAAAAAAAATGGATGAAATAAGTATAAATAAATTAGAATTCTCTAATGAGTAAAGAACTTGTCAGAAATCTAGTTAACAAAAGGAGTTCAAATTCTTAGATTAGATAAATTATATATCGAAGTACTCAGGGAGCTTCTAAATAACATTGCCAATCCACTCTTAGAGTTATCTGTAGAAAAAGAGAACCACGCAGATGCCAAAAAAAAACTAGAAATGGGAATCTGTTATACTTTTTAAAATGAGAAAGACCTTTTTTTTTTTTTTTTTTAAGCCTGGCTATAACAATATTCAGAGAAAATATAAAAGAATACTTTTTATAATCTCTGAGTGGGAAAGACCTTTCTAACTTATGTTGCAAAATCTGGAAGCTATAAATTAAACAAAAAATGCCCAATAAAATTAACTACATTTAAAATTTTAAATTTCTTCTTGTCAAAAATCAGCAAAGTCAAAATACAAATGACAAACTAGGGTTTAAATAGTTACAAGTCATATTGAAAGACAAAAGGCTAATTTTCTTTTTTTTTTTTTTTAAAGATTTTATTTATTTATTTGAGACAGAGAGAATGAGAGAGAGAGCACATGAGAGGGGGCAGGGTCAGAGGGAGAAGCAGGCTCCCCGCCGAGCAGGGAGCCCGATGCGGGACTCGATCCAGGGACTCCGGGATCATGACCTGAGCCGAAGGCAGTCGCTTAACCAACTGAGCCACCCAGGCGCCATAATTTTCTTATACATAAAGGACTTCTTTTACTTATTAGAGTGGGAGAAAGAGCGAGAGAGAGCACGCAAGCACTAGCAGGAGGAGGGAAGAGGGACAAGCACACTCCCTGGTAAGTGGGGAGCCTGATGTGGGGCTCG